TTTTTTTTTTGAGACGGAATTTTGCGAGTGGCGCTATCTCGGCTCACTGCAAACTCTGCCTCCTGGGTTCATATGATTCTCCTGCCTCAGCTTCCCGAGTAGCTGGGATTACAGGTGCCCACCACCATTCCCAGCTAATTTATGTATTTTTTTTTTCATCATGGTGGCCAGGCTGGTCTTGAACTCCTGACCTCAGATGATCCGCCCATCTCAGCCTCCCGAAGCCTCCTTACAGATGTGGGCCACCGCCCCGGTCAAAGCAACAGATTTTTGTTACGTGATCGAATGATAAGAATGCCGCCGCCATACTGAAGAAGGGAATTAAATAATAACAATAATAATAAAAACAAAACCCTATACTTTTTAATTGCTATATAATAAACTAAATTTTGCTGTGTTGTGTGCTGTTTAATATAAAACCTAACCCCAGCTCTGCTTAAAATGAACTAACTCGCTGTAAAACCTACCTTATCTATTGTCCCCACATTCTCAGCAAAGTTCCCAGGCATCTCAAGACTCATGTTTTTCTTGCTGACCAGCTGCAAGGTCACAGGGCAAGATAACACACAAAGAATGTATAATGCGTTCCTCAAAATGTTATTTTTCAAATGTAATGTACATCACAAGATGTGTTACAAATTAACTGTTCTTTGTTCTGGCTTCTGTAAACCTGTTAGCTGCTACTTCATCCCTGATGTATAAAAAGTACCCCTTTTCCTTCTCGGGGCTCAGCCTTGGGTTGCTAATCTGCTGAACTGGTGGCCACCTTAATAAAATCCTCCTCTTCGGGTGGATCACGAGGTCAAGAGATCGAGACCATCCCGGTCAACATGGTGAAACCCCGTCTCTATTAAAAATACAAAAATTCAGCTGGGCATGGTGGCGCGTGCCTGTAATCCCAGCTACTCAGGAGGCTGAGGCAGGAGAATTGCCTGAACCCAGGAGGCGGAAGTTGCGGTGAGCCGAGATCTCGCCATTGCACTCCAGCCTGGGTAACAAGAGTGAAACTCCGTCTCAAAAAAAAATAAAATAAAATAAAATCCTCCTCTTTCACTCATTGGTCTCTTCGGTCTCCTGGATATTCTGTAACAATACCATAATAGCATCTCATTTCTCCTGCACTTTCTTGCATATTATTGAATTTATTTTTTAAATTTTTTAAAAAAATTAATTGAATCCTCTAACATCCTTCTGAGGTTGTTATGTGAAACGCCCACTGTATAGGAGAGAAAACTAGGCTGGATGTGTTAGCTCCTGCCTGTAATCGCAGCATTTTGGGAGGCTGAGTCAGGAGGCTCACTTGAGCCCAGGAGTTCAAGACCAGCTTGGGCAACAAAGTGAGACCCTGTCTCTACAAAAAATAAAAAAGTTAGCCCGGTGTACCTGCAGTACGAGCTAGTCAGGAGGTAGAGGTGGGAGGATCACTTGGGCCCAAGAGTTCAAGGTGCAGTGAGCTGTGATTGCACCACTGCACTCCAGCCCACGTGACAGAGCAGGACCCTGTCTCAAAAAAACAAATAAAAACAGCAACAAAGGGCCAGGCGCAGTGGCTCATGCCTGTAATCCCTGCACTTTGGGAGGCCAAGGCAGGTAGATCACCTGAGGTCAGGAGTTCGAGACCAGCCTGGCCAACACGATGAAACCCCGTCTCTACTAAAAATACAAAAAACTAGCCGGGTATGGTGGCACACGCCTGTAGTCCCAGCTACTCGGGAGGCTGAGGCAGGAGAATTGCTTGAACCC